GCGATCAATGATTACAACGCCGATTTTTTAATTGTTACAGGATCTTTTAAAATGAACTAAGTAGTTTCAAATAACCTTCACTTTAAGATCTTAGATACTATATTTGATCTTTTCGCAGTTCAAAAGGAATATACGTTTTTTCAGACTGTCGAAAGCTTTTCTATCACTCCAATACCATCCGGTGTACCTCAGTCAAGGCAATGAGTTAAAAGGGAGAGGAAAACTGGACAAGAACAAAAAAATGTCAGGCTTAGAGACTTACGCACTCAAGAAACTTGCGGTCCGCATCTTTGTAGCTGCTAGAACAGCCTAGATCTCTCACCACTGAAACTTTATCAGTGTGTGGCCCTAAACTGTGGTACTCACTACACCATAATTCGATTTGGGCAAGTCACCAACTTTAACTAGTTTTAAGGACTGCAAACGTATCATTTAAGCAATTTTTAGAGAGTAGGTCAATGTTTTTGTAAAACGATTTTAATGTCTGTACATGTATCATGCATATATCGATACTGATCTGATAGGATTATATTATATATACATTTTAATAGCAAATTAATTAAATTGTCAATTTTTGTTTAATTTCGGATCCCTTTTACAGCGGTGATCATATTGGCGTGAACACCTAAAATATGTCTGGAATGTTTATTGTGATGTAACCAATCACAGACGAGATCATCACACCACAGAAACCACAGGCAACGAACGGTTTCCTATCTGTCACGGAACAAATTATTTTCATTTTGTTTTAACATTCAGTCTTTTTACAAGTAAACAATTGCTTTTCCTTCCTATTTGTTTACAGTATTTGCTATAATAGCGAAGAATACAGGTTTGAGCGATTTTGAAGTAAATTACAAAGCCGATGTGCCGGGCCTACGCACGCGACGGTTTGGCGCGCGAGTTTTCAAACTTTTTGTAACGATCGAAATCGGTGGTTACGCCTGATCGTAGGGAGTAGATAGTAGTTCGAAGGTTCAATCGTTAGTTCACACAAATCGAATCCCCTTGTTCTACAAAAAAATATTAGCAAGGATTGTGCTATCAGAAACGAAAACATCACGATTGTTCATTTTTTATTGTCTTCATGTGATATGTCGTTACATGGAAAGCTGGTCGCCGTCGCGTCGCGTTGGCTTCTAACACTTTTCTTTCTAAAATCGAACGATGTACTGGATGCGGTCCTCGGCACTGATCTTGGGGAACAGCGGTGTTTTAAATTTCTAATAAGGCAGTTTGTATCCTTAAACAAAACGAAAATAATTTGTTCCATGACCGATCGGAAACCGTTCGTTGCCTGTGGTTTCTGTGGTGTGAAGATTTCCCCTGTGATTGGTTGCAACATAAACATTCCAGACATATTTTAGGTGTTCACGCCAATATAATCACCGCTGTAATTGTGAATTATTAATACATTTTAAAAGATTTTATTTCATGCTCGAGATATGTAAATCATTTCCTTTTTTTTCTCTTTTTACATTGTAAAGCGCCTTGAGCTTCGAAATATGACAGTTATACTGAATAAACCTATTATCATTATTTTCATTATTATTGCAAACAGGTATAAGAGAGCAGAACAAAACTGCAATTTATTTACAATACTGTTGCTTTCCCCCAGCATCACAGCTACAGTTCGCTTCCTAGTCCGCGTTAAATAAACAAGGGGAGCCCGAGGAAGAGTAGGGCTCAATGTGTAATTTCCTTTCTTTCTGTAACTGGTTTTACTTTAGCTTCATTAATATTGAAAAAGAAGAGCCAAAACAAAGAAGAAGCTAAAATTCGAAAGCCCACACAAACAACAAAAGGTACTGATGGCATCAAGCAATTAGCCTTCTCTCCTTCGGTCTTCCCTTTATCAATGAACTCGAAGGGGACCGGAGGTAAAAGAACACACACCACTGTTCAAGAACAGAAGGGTGCCTTTCCCTAGTTGTGGGGTCTTCTAGCAGCTAGACCTCTGTCATCCGGCTTTACTCAGTATCACACGTAAAATACAGTAAGCTTTTAATGGACAGACAATGGCAGCCAGTGGTGCCATTGTATACTGACGTCTAAAATTATCGTTCATATATATGTAAAAAGGACAATTACAAACAAACTTTGTACTTTGATGTCAAGTACCCCACCGTGGGAAAAAACGGCGTGGCGAATGCACTGGAAGAGGTGAGAATGGGCATGCTTGGAGTTAACCGAGTTGATGTACATGTACGCTTCATGTATATGCACTATTGCGCTCACTTTGTTCGTATACTGGGCTATCAATATATGTTCCCCGTTCCATCAAATGTATTCACAAGTTAAAACAATTATTGTTCCTTTCTTGGGTGTTCCTTATAAAAAAAACCAAGGGGAAGGAGGGGACGCACGTCCTTGGGAAAAATCAGGGGAAGGGAGCATTTCGAGTGTCTAGTGTCACTAAGTCTTTTTCTTGGCCTTCTAAAGTTACCCTAGGTTTATAAACGATAACTAGCATATTAAATTTTTATTGACAAAGTATTCACTGAAAGATTTTGGGTACTGCTGTCTGGAAAACTGCGGTCAGTTCTGAAATTACTCTTGTTTGTTTGAGTGATTGAAGTGATCTTATTCAGGCTATCCGTTGCTTATTCCGACGCAATCTGCGCTCACCGAAAACCGCTTCTTGGAAAGCAAAGTTTTCTTCATCATTATCATCATCATCATCTTTATCATCATCTTTCAATAGCGGTAATAAGTAGGTTTAGTTCATGGTTATACCGTAAAACATCCCCCTATTAGCGCCCCTAAAGAAACTTAGCGCTTAGTTTTCGCAAAACTGATGGTCCCCATTTTATAATACAAGCAACTGTAGCACTTAAAAATAACACATAAGCTGCATAAAAATGTGCAATTCGCTTACGTTTATCGCAAATTCGTTCTTTCGGCCAAAGTTGCCCACAAACTGAACCAATGGTAAATATCACAATGACTGTGTTCATGCGGGAAAAGAAGGGAAAAAAGCTGACACGAGTGAAGAGAGAGCAGGTGCTTACTCAGGGCTTACGGTAAGTAAATCACTTTACTTAAGACTGGTCCCTCGGGAAAATTTGTAGTTAATTAATGTTGTTTCCCGAGAATCTGTTGAGGAAACAATAAGATTCCCTTGGAACCAGGTATTAAGAGTTTCCGAATAATTTATTTATATTAGCATATTGTATGTTTTTATTTCATATTTGTTAAGGTTTAACTTTCTATTCTTCAACCTATTATAATTAGCCATAACATTTAAGTTTTCCTAGTGTGTGGTATCCTTCTTCCTTACTTGATGCAGAGGTGTCATCCAAATCTGCCAGTCTAATCTGCGACACAGGCAGAGCAGACTTGTCTGTTAGGAGACCACTGTCCTGTCTCCATCCTTTTCCATTGTTATCACAGTTACATTTTTTGCCATTTGAACAAGAATTTCTCACTCCGCATGCGCACCCATTTAAAGAACCAGCAGCCCCTCCCCAATAGTTCATTCTCCTCCCGTCACGTGACACCCACCAAGCATGATTTTCCTCGACAAAAGCTATCTGATTGTTGCATTCGAACTTGATAAATTGTTCACAGTTCTTTGAGACTCGAGTAAGTGCCACTAGCTGAGCGGTAGTGACTCCAGTGTAAGATACACTCTTGCTGTAACATCCTGGATTCAAATTACATCCAGGAATGTTACCGACATATGTTCTACTCTCACTGTCGTGACTTATGACTGTCACGCCAACTCCTCCCTTGTCAGTCATGTCACAATACACACTGAACGGAGCCACGCCTCCTTTGCCATCAGGGTCAATAATATAATTACCTGAGGAGCTTCCACTGAGGACTGATTTTATACTGCTACAGGACAAAGGTTTGTTGTACACTTCAACAGTAGACGATTCCTTGATTGTTCGTTGATAATTTTTTGCTACACATGTGTATGATCCAGCATCATTTGTGGTCACCTTCTTGAGAAACAAAGTTCCATTTGGAAAAATGATGTGGTTTTGAGGAAGATTTTTGTTGGCTCTTTTCCAGGTGATTTCTAGGGATCCCTTGGATTTGCAGTTTAGTATCAGGCTGTCAGAATCAAATGCGACAGCCTTTATGGGAGGGCTAATTGTAAATCTAAGCCTGTCAATCACTGTTACTACGGAGAAAGCGGATTCCTCTCCAAGGAGATTCTTAACTGTGCATACGTAAGTCCCTCTATCCTCTTTAGTCACACTTAGCATAGTCATGTTTCCATCGATCACTGTAGTCTTTCCTCTTGGCAAGCTACCAAATGCTTTTCGCCACGTCACCGTTGGCTTCGGCAGACCAGAAGCTTTGCATTCTAGGTTCACGTTTTCTCCTTCTTCAACGATTACTGAGGAAGGCTTTTGTCGGATCAAGGCCGCAACTGAAAATAACAGACACAAAAGAAAAGTGCACGCCAACGAACGTTAAAGCACCCTCGAGGAATTTCCAGTTAATGGATTACTTTCAAGTACGTGACCTACTTTTTCCGTTCTGCTTTTGATGTATCGTCCAGTGTAAAGCAACCGCACCCCTAAGGAGTCGAGCCTCCAGTCATCTTTTGGGGCAGGATTTCATTAGTGACAAAGTCGAAGTTACAGTTGTAATCAAAAGTGCAATGTGATAATGTAATACATAGAGCGCTCCAATTTCGCTTGCAGCTCCGTCGATTTCGAGCTTTTGAAAACCACAATAAAGTTATTGCTGGTTATTTTTGTAGTTGTTGTAGCATTGGGAATGGTTTCTTTTTACGTCTCTGCTTGGGACTCGTTTTCAGAAACTCTTAACTCGACGGAGTCCAACCTCGTTCCCAGGATTCTCTCCTGACTGTCCCTAAGGAGTGTGAGAGAGAGACCCTGGTTAAGTCTGGCCCAGAATCTGGAGATTACGAATAAACGATTTGGGGGAGGGGCAGATCAGTGTGAGATTTTTCTCTTTTGAACGTACCCTAGTCTGTGGAAAGTGTGGCCATGAAACAGTGCACCTGACGGAGTCTTTCCTCTCCTCTCCTCTCGCTCCGTAGGGACACGAAAAAGAGGACACTGAGAACGAGGTGGTTTCGGAATTATAATAAGCACGACGAGAAAGAAGAAAATGGAAACATTCTGATTCTTGCAATCGCGATTCCGTTGGGCTTATAATGACGCCGCTTACGACTCCGATTTTCGATTGACTTTAGGTCATAAGGTGTTCTTACCACCCCGACTACGACTCTGACTAAGTACTAAAAATAAAGGTTTAGACTTTCAATACATTATATCCTCTGTCAAGTAGAGAGAATCTTGTTGGCTTAGAAACTTTGTTCTCCCTGTGTTTAAATGCAAACCCAACACGGCTGCCAGTATCTAGAGGCAAACTTATAAAGTAAATGCTTAAAAAGAAATATATCTTGACGACGACTGCGGAAATATTGCAAGCCATGTAGTTTTATTTGCGCTGTTCCCATGGTTCAATTTTGTCGTCAGATATTCCTGTTAATCTTCTCTGGGATGTTAGTGGTATCGGCTAAGACTTTCATGCATGTAAACAGTCTCGAGTGTATATATATCCTAGATAGAGCTTCTAAGTTCTTCAGAAGCTTCGATAAATTTGTATCTTTGTTAAGAATGTAACAGTATTCAGCTTGAATAGATGTATGACAACAAGATAAAATGACGGTGAATTAAGACTACAATGGAAAATTAAGAAGAAATTACCTTGAACAATCAATGTAGCTGATGAGGTCACGACTCCAAGAATATTTTTTGCCCTACACGTGTACACTCCTCCATCTTGTGACGTCACATCTCTTATCACAAGGCCACCACGTGATTGCATGATTCGTTTATCGGAGGGAAGACTGGAATTTTTTTTCAGCCAAGTGACCTGGGGCACTGGATTTCCTTTAACCTCACACTGCAATGAGGCTATACCAGTTTCGTTCACCACCATGGACATCGGAGGTGACACAATCGAAGGAGCTGAGATGGATTCACCAGGATCGCCCTTGGGTCCTTGAGGGCCTTGATCGCCTCTAGGTCCAGAAGGCCCCTGATCTCCTTGAGGTCCATTTGGTCCTTGTGGTCCCTGAGGCCCAGCTGGTCCGTGTTTGCCTGGGGGACCAGGCCTTCCTCGTCTTCCCCTGACTCCCTTGGGACAATGTGCCGTGCAGGCCAGGTTACTCATCACCAGTTTAACTTCCCTTTTTATGTCCTCCCTACTAATGATCTCACTGACGTTTGATTTCTTGTTTACATTTTTGGCGTTGCGTTTGTGACGAATTTGTATTTCTGCAACTGAGGGATAATTTATGTCACTCTTATGATCTCCCAGTGAAAAAATGTTTTGGTCGGCTCAATTACCCCCTTGTAACAAACTAAATTTTGCAGTAACATAATGGCTTACAACACTGGTTCAAGACAAACTTTATCTATTTTGGACTGCATGCCATATATTTTCATGGACTAAAAAGAAAAGAAAAGAACATTCTAATCAGCAAATACTGAAATTGAATCGCCATATCATACGCTTTGTCACGGCGTTAGGTTTCAGCCCTTCAGAAGAGAAAGGGAAATCTTCTCGACCTGCATGTACCAAACTAGCTGAAAGCGAAACGCCAGAATGTCGGTTCTGATCAGTATTATTTACAATTAAAAAAATTAGTTCTTTTTAGAGTCAAAAAAATAACAGCTTAGTTTCGGAATCTAACTATTGTGTTGAGGGCGTTATTGCGGAATGTTTAAAGTTTTGACAAAAAGGTCCATTGTGAAGCAACAGTTCGGTTTCTAAGCCTACGAGAATCGAACCAGTAAACCAAAGCACTCACCTTTACCAGTCTCACTACACAGCGCGGAGGCAATCGATTTATCGTTCACAGTGCCTCGTGAGTGGATACTTTCTTCTCTCTGTTGAGTCAAGACTTGAAGAATTTTTCGATGAGCGTGAAGCTCGATCTCGACGTGAATCAATGCCACGAAGCAGGCAGCAAAAGATAAAACTATCGACGAAAACACTAGGGGGTTGTTGATCGGTCGCTTCTTCGTTTCCATTTCAACAACACAGTCAATTGTGGTTATTAGGGAGCTTAATTATAAAGCCAGTCAAAACTTGTAGCCAGACAGTTGACCCGAAACTAACTCTTGAACGCACAGTTACGGCTGTTGTAGTTTAAAAGGATGTTTTTTTTAGACGAGACGTGCCTAGGGCCCTCTATCTGACCCTGTTTCCGCCTTTTAATACTGGCTGTCTTCCAAGTGGCTGAGGAGGTCTTTTGTGTAAACATGCTTAACCTTTTTATCCAATGAACTAAAGGAGGATAAACATTAACCATAAAGGACTGCAAAGGACCGCATGTTTCAAACGAATATGCCGAACAACGTAGGATCTATAAACAGTACAAAGACCTGATCAGCAAAAATAATAATGTAGACATATTAAATTCTGCAAGCAGAATACTGCAATGCTGTGAAAATTAACTCTGCAAGACATCAACACGACACCGAAAGAACTCAGAACAGAGCGGGATAGTAGCCATAGACAGCTGCGGTTTCGCCCTTTTTGGAGCTCGTCAGTATGGCGCAACAATCAGAGAAAACTATGACACAGGGTCCAGAGGAGTTTCGTGTGAATAAATGAATTAATTACCTTGAAAAATGTCTAGACCTGTCGCTTAGCACGATTAATTAGCCCAATGGGATCTTTATAAATCTACTGTAAACGATGTCTTCGCTTTATCTGACCAAGAATCAATAACCGCAAGCCATATCCTCGCTGGCGCACGGCACGTCGCCCGAAGGGTAACGAAACCGTAACGCGATTTTTTCAGAGGTTTTCGACGGGTTTTGATGTTCTAAAGACAAACACATCTCCTCTGGACCCTGTGGTTGATGTCTCGCAGGGAAAATAAAAAGGGCGAAACAGCTGTCTATGGCTCGAGTATGCAATTGAAAGGGCTGTTAAGCGAACTATATAAAATAGTTTAAATAGTCTACCGTTGGACTGTTAACCAGCTACTGCACTCATAACATCCCCGAATATCATCTTGAAAATATCCCTTGGTTAAAAAGACTACAAAGTAAAGTCTGAAACAAACTAAAACGATAGATTGATAGAAACAAAGCAAAAATCTGATAAACAACGAAAATTATTTAACGGAACACACTCTTTGTTCGCATTGAGTATTCGTTAGTTTTACCCCATTTTCACTTTACATCAAACGTGTCCATAATTTGTTAAGATGGGCCCACGAAAAAGAAGAACCAAAATAAATAAGTAAATAAATTAATAAATTAATTAATTGATTATTTAAAATATAACGAGGGGAGGGTTTCACTTACTCAGGCATAATCGGGAATGGAGGGTAGGGTGGGGACGTTTTCTACTCTTTCACTAGCGGTAAGTTTTTTTCTTGGCCTTTAAAAGTTTCACAGTTTAGTTTAGTTTAGTTCAGTTTAGTTCATTTATCTGCCAGGAAAAATTAAGACATTCAATACATTGCATGCATAAAAAACTACGGGTTGAAGGTCTAAGTTGATGTAAATTATATTAGTAAAGTATTATAAGTATTTTTCTGGCGAGGAAGCTCAAATTTAAATCGAAGAGGCTTATTACTATCAGCTCCCTCTCTTAATTGATTATAAGACTATATGTAATAAACGACAAACGAAATTATGTTGAAATATAAATATATAACTTAGAATAAAAAGCAAAGCAAAACACACTAAAAGGACAAAAAGCAGCAAAAGCAACAAACAACAAAATAAAATAAAATCTACATGTGAAGAATCAGCTGACGAGAAATGCTTTCAGTCTAGATTTTAAAAGAGAGGTAGACGTAGCACTGTGTAAATTGCGATTTAGTGTATTGAAAAAATTTGGAATCCTGAAATCTTACACCAAAATACATACAGCTGACCTTCATAATTTTGTTACTGGAACGGCTTGGAAACTAAAATTTCGAGGACTTTTTTGGGCTTTTATCATTTAGGGCATGAATTTTGCGTCATTTCAGGCCAATTTCATGCCCGGCATGGCGGGCATGCCAAACTCAATGCAACTGGCTTCACGATCGGCATGCCCGGCATGCCAAACCCAATGCATGTTACCCGTAACGATCCCAGAAACTATTGCGGGACACCTTTCGGTTCCAGTCCCCTTCTCGTTACTAAAGTGGCGAATGGTAAAGTCTATTTGCCCGAAATTTCGGTTTGCAACACAAACCTTCGTCGGAGGCTAAGATTGAAAAATGAATACAGATAAAAACGTTACATATGCGAAATTTAAATATACAGCAAGCAGGAAATAATCGGCTAATGAAAAAGATAAATGTCACTAATTTATACCAGCTCATGATCAGGAGCCCATAACCCGGAGAGAGCAACTCGCATACCAGCCGTCACGACGTTTTCAAGGATCGGTTTATTTTGAGATACATTTTAAAGTTCTTTTTCCCTCGAAAACGGGAGGTTTGCCCCGTTCATGAGCGCATTATTAGGAGTATAAGGTATGACAAAGGAAAAATAAACGTCATTTTCAGGTCTTTTGGTTTTGCTGAGTGGCCTTGTGGGACCCAAAAGATATTCTAAATTCGCGCCAAAATCGTTCTAAAAATAAACTGTTTTGTGAAAACGCCATGGCACGAGACATGGAAGTTGCTCGCTCCGTGTTACCGAGGCTCCAGTGTCATTGTTCTGTTAACAAAGTGAGCCTCCTTTGAGAGGCTCTTTCAGGTGTTATTGATTTCATCAACAAGGTGAACCTCGTGTGAAAGTCTCACACGAGAGTCACGATTTCTATGGATTACTTTCAAACTGGAACATGACGGACGTAGCCTGAAAACGGAGACGTATTTCCGGTCGTCGCTTCTCTCCCACCGAGAGAGCCTGGAGGCGAAGACCTCACGGGAAAAGTGAAAAGTACGCTTTTATTATGATTTACTTGAAACCATAACTTAACTCACTAAATTATCACCATTTCTTTGGTGTCGGTTCCATTTCCGCTTTTATTATCAAGATATACAGTCTCAGTACACAAAAAATACATGCACTATTATTTGTCATTTGCACATCTTCCATAATACATCTTGTTCGCCCCCTTAAAATTTGCATATTTACTCGAATAAGTATCACCTTTGCACAAGCCCCACATTTGGGACAAGAAAAGTTTGTAAGCGCCGCGGCAACAATATGATGAAATCCAAAAACGTCAATTCTGTTAGTCTTATACGGAAATCCAGTCAAACCCCGTTAATAGGGCCCTTCAAGGGACCAGAGAAAGTGTCCTTATTAAGTGGGTTAAATAAAGAGAAAATGCAAAGGCTTTCTTTACCAGGGACAAAGCAAACTGCCCGTAATAATGAGGTGTCCGTACTAAGCCTGTGTCCGTAAAGCAGGGTTTGACCGTAATAATACCATAGTTAAAACAGTTCTTGTTTTGCGTCCAGCTTTCATAGAAATAAACGCTGCCCTCAAATAAGAGCCGTATTTTACCGTAGAAAAGTTTAATAAGCGCCGCGGCGTTTTTCGAGTAAAAACGGTAAGCATTATTTTCAGTTTCTCTTGGAACGAGTGTAATACCCAGGAAGAAATTAAAAACAAAGGTTACTGTAGAAGAAGTGCAAATGGCAAATAAGGGTTCCTAGATCCCGCATTCCCGCTCCTTTACAGGAAAATCTGCCGTCAAATGTAAGATGTAGATCGGTTTTGTCGGTTGATTGATATTTGGAATTTATGCGCGCGATAAGGCCATTGCACAAAATAAATAGCTTTTTATTCCTCAGAATGACCAAAGAGCTTGATATAACAGCATAATAGGTGGTCCTGCAAGTGTGCGAACCAACATCAAAACGCTACTAGTACCTGGGAGCTTCCCGTTTCCAAGGATAAATGAGTCAAATTCATATACGATTCAGAAACGCATCTTGTGTTCTCAACGAAAAAATGTTAACGCCAATACCTCCCTTTAGCACTCTAACAATAGTGACCTCACGTTTTTCTCTTAGGCCATTACTCCTTGTGGTTTCCTCTAACGCCTTGAACCTTTTTAACTGCTCCTGGAATCCCCCCGTCTACAGCTCTTTATGTTCGTTGTGTAGCGAAACAATAGGCTGGTTTAGAAACAGGACGGCAACGTCAGTTGACGACGGGAAAGGGCGCGGAAAGGACTAAACACGACTTCCGGTGCTCAATTTGCCGCTCCGCCATTGGTCAAGCAAGTTGCTTGATTTGCGCGCGCCGTCGCCAACTGACGTTCCCGTTCTGTTGCTAAATCAGCCTATTAAATCATTTGTGGATCGCTGCGTTGCTTACGGGGCTAGCCTTTCCAAGAATTTCAGTTAGTGGAGAGTGGCGCGAAGTATAGAGAGCAGAGGAGAAAAGAAGGGGAAAGTGAAGAAAAAGTAAGAGTGAGAGAGGAGGATTTCTTCCTCCTCTGTCCCTACACTCACACCCTCTTTTTCTTCTGCTCATTTTTTTTTTTTTGGCCCGTCTCCTTTACCTAAACGCTGGAACAGGTTACCCCCCGGAAATTAAGAAATTAATCAGAAACAAACCACCTAAAAGAATGTTTAGGAAAGCATTTTTACTCTGGTACCTTGCTCAATACCAATGAAACCTCTCCTCTTTAATAATTTACTGAGCTATTTTAAAATTTTTTCCTTTACTTTTTTATTAAAAACTACCAGTTTTTTGTTATACTGACGTAACTTTAAGGGGCACAATATTAGTTTATCTCGATGTGCCCCACTCCTCCTCTTCCTATATACAATGTGATTTAATTTAAGAGCTGTAATGTTGTATTGTACGTTTTCTTTCCTTGTAAATTTTATTTGTTTCTTTTATATTATTGTTATTTTTTTCCCCCTTATATCCAATTCTGTACTATCATTTACTAAGGTTTGGAGAAACAAATAAAATGGAAAAATGAAAATGAAAAAGAAATTGACATTTCGGACAACAAGGCCCTTCAGAAGAACCTCTTTCCTAGTATTGACCCCATCTCACAAGCAACCTAACCTTTTTCTATCGATCGGCCACTCTCTTCTGTCCCCAGGGTGGCCGTTGTGGAACTGTATAGGCGAAACTGACCAAAAAGCAAACATGGTGAAACTGTCCAATAAAGAACCAAGCCAAAATGCGCCATATATCGAGGCCGCAACAAACAGTGACGGATTCGGATAACAGGCGGTCGAACACCTGTCGAATCAGCGGCCTGTTTGGCGCTTAAAAATGATTGGGCTGTCAGTAAAACTCGGGGTCGCGGGGTCGGGGTCTATCTTCTTTTTTAAAGAATGCTGTTTTAGGATGAGGGTTAGGTTAGGGTTAGGATTGAGGTTAGGGTTAGCGACAACCCTAACCCCAACCCTAACTCTAAAACAGTATTCTAAAAAGATACACCCCGACCCCGACCCCGCGTTTTACTGACACCCCTAAAAAGGTAAAGCACATGCCACGTTGACACTGAAAAATTTGACATACGAAGAAACGAAAGTTTAAACGGAACGGACTGGGATAAGCTTATTGTTGTCGCTGTTGTATCACAATGTTTTCACCTTTGAGATTTCTTGTATTAATAATGTTTTTGAAAACCCTGGGTAAAGTTTTACGTTGAACTGCATCAAAAGACCGCAAACTGCGCGCTGTATTAACATAGGAGATCTTTGCAATTATTGTGCTAAGAAAACATTTGTCAAGTTTCGTTTACAGCGTATACACAGGAGCAAAATGTCACGACTTTGCAACTGTTCCTTCCGAGCACATAAATTAACCGATTTTTCCGCCTTTAAAATGGTTTACTCCCCCAAGACCTTTTTAAAGAATTTATTTGAAATGTTAATTAACCTTACAAGTCCCAAATGGGCCCAAAAACAATCTCTGTTGGCTTGCTACATAGACACGTGCAGTAAGAAAATCCAATCAGAAATTATTATGCAAATCAAAACGGTGCTCCGCGCCATATTCAAAAATTGGTAACTTCAGTTGTGAGAGCTGGCGAAGGTTGCTCACGAAGGAGAAACAAGACTCTCTCGTTTAAACTGCTTAGCCGTCTTTCTCAGCTTCACAAAGAAAGCTAACTGTGAACGAAGCAGTCTGGGATGTTAAAACCAGCGAATGAGGTAAATTATACTTTTCTTGTTAGATTTATAATCAGAACGGTTGAAATTTGTGGTCCGACGAGTCCAACTTAAAATTAAGTTATTTTAGTTGTCGAATGTTCTTGTTTTAAACTAATTAGTTCCCAGAGGAGAAATAGCGGGTAGAAACGAAGCCAAATGCTCACTCAGTAAAATTTATTAGTTTTTTTTTTAAATTTTGAAAGCCCTGTGTATTTTCGTACATGTCGAACACGTGGCCGTCTCAAATACAAGCTTAGCTCAGTGGAACCTTTGATAAAGAAAGTAACCCAGCAAATCATATTTTGCTATTCATGCAATTTCATATCGGTGACACAGACAGTAATTCACAATAAAAAAAATAGCAAATTTGATACATTCTCTTTCCCCGGTACTATACTAGGCAACATGACAGCGAGATTATTTAATCTGAATTTAATCAGAATTTTCTATTACTTGAGGACAGCTAAAAATGTTTGGATGACCGTTCCATTCATGTGCATTTTTCAAAGCTTATCTAATAAATTCCCTACAATTTTCTGAAGTTTTAATTTTTCACATTTCATAACCCAGCTCACTGCTACACTATTTTTCGAAGGAAAAAGGAAACCTAATTTATTCGAATTCAAAAATGTGATAAAGAGAGGAATAAAAAAATTTTTTCTCTTGTAATGCGCTAAATTGCATCTAAAATTTTCGGAACAACAATACTAAAGCTCTTGAAATTTCTAAAAGGCCTAAGTTCCCCTAGGATGAACGAACAGATACAAATTGTATAGCAACGCTTAGAATGCATGTTAAAGGTCTAAAAGTACTCTGGATAGTCTCAAAAAGTGTTTTCAATGCATTGGAGGAAAGCGTGGTTAGGTGCTCCTGAATAGAAGCTGTAACAGAAAGCCTCAAAGTTTGCAGAAGGTTTTTTTAATTTTTTTTCCAAGAATTTGAACAAACATTTATACTAAAAAGAATAAAGAAAAAGTACCTTGCACAGAAAACTTAATTAGTGAGGATGGGAAAATGTGACTTCATAAATTGGTACTTTTGGTTGTCAACGTTTTTAGTTCGGCAATTTCAAACAACTCTTTTTGTAAACTCGCTACTTGAGTTTTAGCTTCCTCGTGTGCAACTACTGAACTGGTTTGGAAATTTATTGATGTCTTACTGAAATTTATTGATATCGTTCTGAAATTATTGATTTCTTACTGTCTTACGTTGAATGAGATTGCCCTTACATTCAAACAGGGTCGTGTAAAAAACGAACCGTAGTTAAATGAGCGAATTGACGAAACAAGATATGCGTACATGCAACTTACCGTTTAAAATGAATTTAAACAGTAACATACGATTTATAATTCGACAAATTACGATATATAAATAGATTGGAATCAATAATGACTTTTGACTTGCCATGTAAAGTTGTAAACTAGTGATCAGTTTTCACACAAGTCAGATAGTGTTCATTATGTTTAGCCAGATTTCGGCTTAATTGCCGCGGTAAAAACCAGTTTCTACCCGCCGTTTGTAAGCAAACCTTTTACCACCTCATATGATGTCACTGCATCACGCGCGATCTCTCGCGCGAATATATTGCAGCCGAGCCTGGATTATTACCATGGTGACGAACATTGCAATTTACGATTCTTTATACCAATTGAAAAGATTCGAAAAGATCGTCAGCACAACCCTGTATTAGTTTGATTGAGTCTTTGCAAACCTTTCCAGGGAATGAGAGTATTCAATTGCAACTGAATTTGAAAACTAAAGTATTTCCGTATTTTTTTGTTCATTTCTCTTTGCGTAGCTCTCTGACGCGTTTAGAGCCTTTTCACTACTGTTATCTCAGCTTCCCATGTTTTTAATTTCAGCCATCAGAGCAGACCATCTTCCTTAGTCAGTCCTCCAGATTAGGCCATGAAACCAGACCACAACGGCAGGCCATAAGATCCGCCCAAGATCAGACCACCACAACAGACAATCAGACGAGTCTCAGATCCGGCAACAGAACAGACCATGTACCAACTCCCACACCAGACCATCGTCAGACCAGACTACCAGATCAGATCAGCCCACAGACTACCATCCATGACTGCTCCAGAACACCCAACCTCGTGAAATGGTACAGGTTAGGTGCATTGATTGTGGGTTGGGTGAAGGGGGGTATATAGAGCTCTGGATGAACCTTGCAAAGCATACTTTCCACACACGTTCGGCCTGAAGTTTTTGGACATCTTTTTCGGCTTAACTTAACTGTAGTTAGATCAGTTAGCGGGCTCCCTGGGCTGGTAAGGGCCTCCCCTGCCCTTTTTCATTAGTTGGGTTCCTTTGCAGGTGTTCGGTCAGCGACATAAGTTCGGCTTTTAGGATTCGGCTTGGCTTCTAGGAAACGGTTGGACCGCGTTTTTTCATCTTTTTCGGATGGACTCATCGCCTTTTTTCGTCGTCGTCGTCGTCACTGCAGTCTCCCGCTTAGTTGCGCCAAATTCAATTCATTACACTTCACTTGATAGTCATTGCGCTGGGCAAGTGAAGCATTCACTCGCAAGGTTCAACCAGACAGTTATTATTTTAAGAAGAACTTTAGTAAACTAGAGACATAAGACCATTCGGCTACTGCAGTGAGAGGACCTCATTTGGCCTCCACTTACAGGCTCAATGGTCTCTCTGGTTACAGGTAGATAGTCAGGTTAGTCTCGCAAATTCGAGTCTGCACCTACCTATACCAATTTGACTTTTCATGTTTAACAGTGCGAATGCGAAGCGAACATTTTTGATGCGCGTTGATTTCCAGACTTCGAACTTGTGAGGGTAGATCAGATGACAGGTTTAGTCTTACAAAGAAGGTAATCTGCAATCAGGCGTTTCTTCCCGCGAAGAGCCAACACCTTGTTGCAGGTTGCCAGGGCAACATGGGACAATCCACACACCACAGGCTAGATCGTTTACAAATCGTAAGCGTAGGAAGTCTTCGAGACCAATCTACGACGCAGTTTCATAGCTGGAGGAGCACTAACAAGCCGATCAGCATTTAGCAACGTTATTAACTTGCGAAGTGATTACGAGAATGCCAATAGGCCGAATATTTCAGGGAAACACATGTGAAGGCCCACCATACCTTGATATGCGTGTCCCTGAATGGCATTCAGGTGAAAACCTCGCAGGTTATAGATAGTTTTTCAGAGGCCACAGGAATAGCAGGAGAGGATACTCTGGCGTGGCATCGTTAACATTAAGACGATTTAGGTTGTCTTCTTGTTAATTTTGCCTTGCTGGAGAGTTTTCTTCTTAGGAAGTCCTGCATTGCACTATGCAGGCACAGATCGTCTACAAATGGTAGGCGTACGTAGTCTTCACGTCGACCGTTCGTGGCTATTGGTTTCTTAGTCTTCATCCGAGAGTGGCCTGCAGCTTTCCCGATCTACCCCAGACAACTCTTGAAGTACTTCATGAAGGGGAGTGAATCCTAGAGCAGTACGCTGTCTATTTCCTTTTTTTCCTGAATCTTGTAACAAGAAATAGTTGCTTTTGCAAATATAAATAAAGTGCTTGTGATCGTATGCTTGATCGTATTGTGTGTGATTGAATTGTGGGTCCATTGCTACATCAAGGGAAGAGGCCGGCCGAAGAAAGAAGAACAAAGAACCTCCAAATGTACAGAAAGATAGTCCAGTTTATTAAGAAGTCGAGGTAGCTGCCTTTGCGGCGATGAATTTAGAAGAAACGCATAGGACCAAACCAGACAATGATGATGATGATGGCGATGACGATGACGACGTTTATGATGATGATGATCGTTTGCGCTAAGACATCATTCTGCTTCCACTAAAAGTTATTTTATTTGCCGTTGTTTGAGGGTCATAATTGAACTGAAGAAAATCACGTTAAAATGTAAATTGGCTATTTTGCATACAGAAGCCGATGACATCATAGTGAAAACGACTTCATCATTAGGAAGGCAAGGTAAAGACAGAGGAGACAGCATATAGCAATAACTTAGATAAGCTGTCTTAACTAACGTTGATATCTTTAATGGCCCATATCCACTCCCCCAACCCTTTTCAATTTTTCATAAAAATTCTTAATCACCGTAATTCTGAAATTAGTTGAATTTTCATCATGTCTGATACCTTGTTCCGCGGTGATTAAACTCGCATAGTCCAATGTTAGTTGAGACAGCCACCAATATTTTATAATTAAAATTTAATTGGCCGGCCGAACTTCACCTTTGGGCAACTTCACCTCATCATGGACCTCTACGACTTCTTCTTTTTTTTGCCAATGGCCTACGCCTTTTTTTGGATTGTGGATCCCAGTCTCCTTGGTCTTTTGGTGGAGGAACATGACAGTTTACAGCAGCCCATATAAGGTAGGGCTGATTTATACTGGTACAAATTTTACACAAAGCTGACTCGTTCGGTCTTAAATAGGAAAATCGGCCGCTCATTGAATTTCCGCGTAACACTTTGTTTGTAAGAAGCTAAGGTTCGTAGCTTAAGATGTAAACTTTGCACCTCATCAATCAGCCCAAGTAATAATCCAATGTGGCACAAGGTATGTGGATTTTTTTATATTTTAGTCGATTAGATTTTCGGTTCGGTCTATTCGTCTTTTTTCGGTTTTCGATTCGACTTTTGATCTGATTCCCGATTCGGCTTCAAAAACTGTGAAGGCTTGGTATAGACAAAGTTTCCATAGCAAGCCGCCAAATATCCCTGCATACCGTCCGGGGGACCCTGGTGTGTTTCATTCGAGGTGTCAAGGTTTTATGGACGCATGTCACACTCCTCGGTCTTGCTCGGACGTCAAATTCTTAGAAGCGCACCCCATCTATATAGACTACTTCATTTCTGTAAACAGCCAACTCAATTCAATAAAAATACTTCATCTAATGTGTTGTCTGTGTGGTTTTTTTCTTTTTCTTTACAACTAAATCTTTAGGTAATTAATTTTAAGTACTAATGATGATTTAATTTGCAGGGATATTACTAAACACTTGATGTAATAACGGCAAAAAAAATAATAAAACAAAAATAAAACACTGAGTTGTAAGTGTGATGTTTTTTAACTAGGCTCATTGAGTGACACTGAGTGTCGCATCAGTGTGTTCGTTATTAACACACAAATAACTAACTCATTTAATTTCAGGTGCGTCGAAAATCAATAAGTTTATCGTTTTTGGACTCCTCCGCCACTTTTTGCGAGGGTGAATGGACGCACATTTTTTGGGCGCGCCCTCTCAAGATGACTTTTTTCCGACCATTTTACTGCGTTTTGGATGCGTTCTTGAAGAAACGCATGGCACTACCTATTTTGAAGTCGTTCGTAAGGTGCCGAAGGAAGGGCAGGAACATTAATATTAAGGTTAATGTGATTGAATTGTACGTAATGAAAAGTTGATGAAAAATAAAGTTTAACAAACGAAAGGCATATCATCGGCTTGTTTGTTTGTTTGTTTGTTTGTTTGTTTTTGTTGATTAAACCAGCTCTAACAAATTTAGATAAGTTAGATTATGTTGTAACGGAGTTGCTTCTGAGGAAAAAAATAAAGTGTGACCAACACATTGCCGTTTCATCATTGTATTTTTTCTTTAAACCAATGGTACATAATTAAAAAGCTTCATTTCAGGAACATCGTACGTCGTTTTTTAAATCTTTTTTTGCTCGAACATCACCGCCTCAAAGACGTCTTTTTGGGCACGCCCTCTGAAGACCGACCACAGCAAACCGAATGCTCTCTAGAAGCTCATTTGGAAGTTTTTTCTGGCTGCGTTCCTGAAGAAACGCATGTCGATGCTGATTACGATTGGAAAACAAGTCAAAGCTTAAAGGTAAGACAGACATCTGTTTATGCCCTAACTGTTAGATTATATCTTTGGGTTTCAGATTTAGTGCGTTTCGACAGCAGCGTCTAAGATGCAAGGAAGAATGAAACGGAAAGTGAGTATGGTGCTGATTCATGAACTTATCCTCGGATGATACTAAAATTTATTTGCACGCACCCTAGTAGGATTCAAACCTACGACATTTGTTTGTTTACTGGTGCTCCTAGTGTACCAAAGAATGCAATTTTCAAGACTTGGAATTCCAAATGATGTTCGGCTGAATTCGAATCTGTTTGATAATAGCTGACAGTGGCAAATGGAGTCTGCGATTGGTTTCCAAGTGTGCATTAAAGCCAGTGTTTTGACGTTATTTATTGATTCTGTTTTTAAGAAATATTTCATTTAGGTCGGAGACGTCCAGCCGTGATATGGCCCATCAGCAGTGACGTGCAACCTGTAAGTACAAGAATATAGGAAACCCTTTGTCTTCAAGAAGTTAAACAAGCATACCAACAAAATGACAGGGTCATTTAAGAAAAGATTTTTGCCATAGGCAAATGTGCACCTACTGCAGCAAAAGTCGATCGTTACTTTAAAGGGAAAAACTGTTTCCCATTCAGGGATTCCAACACATAAACATTGCTTCATCAGTAAGCAAATCGATATGAAGCGTTAATGAGACTCGATCGCCAGGGTGACTGAGAGAAGCTTTATGGCTTTAAAATTCATTTTCAACTGCCATGTTAAAACTGTTGCTTTGATAATCTTTTTTTAAGAAGCTTTTTGTTCAGGTCTCTGCAATTCCAGAAGTTGTTTCCAACCCGCTGTCGTAGCCCGCCCATTGACATTGGGACAGGTGACCCCAGCTACCAGATCTGAAGTCGAGTAGTGGAAAGGTAATGCACTTATCCTCGGATGATTTTACCCAAGCATTCTGAAAGGAAATGAAGCCTTTGATTACCATTTCAAGACATGAATTTGACTCTAATATTTATCGTATTCGATCCTCTATCAAGATAATTTGAAAATGTCACGTTTAAATGGAATGCAAATCCATGCCAAGAGGTTATCCGAAACAGGGGTTTGGATACCACTTAGGTAGACCAAAAGGCAAAGGAGCAACAACCAATGATTAAAATGATTTAGTGACAGAATTATTCTTTAAAAACAATGGCAAACGTTTGCTTGCATTGTTAATCCATGTTTTTGAGAAACTTTGCCCTTTAGGTCGGAAAATTGTTGATAGAAGTCAGGGAGCGGAAAAGCAACCTGGAAGTCTCTCTTTGACTATCACAAAGAAAGTGATTGGAACGACCCACCTGGCAGATCATAGGTAAGTACAGAAGAAAAAATTCGAACACGTTCAACCTAACTTTGCCCCCAAAAAATATCAGGAAAGAAAAGTGATTATAAAAGAACTCACTACGTGCATTTACTCAAGTTGTGAACTGAGTCACAACTAAGTCTACTAAAACTGCATATTGCAAAATATACAACAAGGACCCTCAACAAGAGGAGTTTATGCTGGCTGTATGTAGCTGTTAATTGAACCCTAGAGACAAATCGTAACTTTCATTTGAAGGTCCCTAAACACTTCTCCGTCAATGGACTTCTAATCCATGAACTTTGCTTAACTGTGATAATACTTCAAACAGATACAAGGTGCTGTTGGAATTCAAACCTAGACCTACTTATTAGAACTAAGAAGAGCGAAATATGAAATAGGCTCTTACTTGCTGAGTAATAAATTAACATCCCTTTGATAAGCTAAATATCTTGTTCTTGAGATCTATTTTATACAGATCCAGAAGATTTCAGATGTCGCGCCTCGTCCGTCCTACAGTCAGTGGCTCGAAAATTATGTGAAGGAGCCTTGCTTAACTCGACAGAGGCAAATACAATCTTTCTCCATCTAAATTGTAAAGAATAGACTTAAAGAAATTAGGTTGGGATCCAAACCGAGCGGAAATTTCAAGTGTTGTATGGAATTAACTAGACTAAACATATGCTAAAACTGCAATAATCAAGGGGTAAAAGTGCTTAGCTATACCTTTGTGCTGTCTGAAGTTTCACTAAATTTGCACGTCACCACTAACAATATCAATTCAGGTTCCTTGCGTCTGGTGTGATTGTCGTTATTCTCCTCAAAACAATGTTATAATAAAACAATTATGAAATTGGGTTTTGTAATATCCTAAATAATCAAGGTCTAGATGAGTGTTATCAGTCCCGGCCTTCGGCTCGGCTGATAACACTTACCTCGACCTTGATAATCCCGGATATCACTAAAACCTCATCCAGTAATTGCTAATTATCTTGTTGATTGCAATGATGATGATGAGGACGACCACGATAATGGTAATGATGACGTCAAATTACGACAATGATGGAGATGCCATGTCTTTCTTCAACAGGGGAAGTTGTCCATTGAAACTTTAGTAATTTAGACGACGTCCAAATGCAGTTATTTTAACTAAAACGATAGAACTGTAATTGACACTAATTGACACAACAGCAAAGACAAAAGCGACCTGAGTTCTCCCGATACTTCAGATGGTCTAGGTGTTCTTCTCGTAGGATTTTAAGGCCAGTAGGGATAACATTTGAAATATTAATTAAAATGCGGCTGGACTTATTGGAATCACAAAAGTAAAGAGACGAAAAAGGTCAAAAGAGGAAATAAATGTAGGAAAATGGAGCAGAAATGAATTTAAAATGACATATGAATAAAAGAAAATAAAAAAACAAGTAGATAAATAGTGATAAAATAGTAAATAATAAAATGTCCTATAATAATGAAACTAAATATAAATTCAAATGAATAAAAATAGGGATATTAATAATGATCACAGTAATGGTTATCATAATAGAAAAGGGTTATTTAACAAGCAGCTGCAACAACAAAAAAAGTAGACTGATTTTTGACAACGTAACTAAGCAGTTACGTTTCAAAAACTCAGCTAGAAGTATTAACGCTTTCCCTTTCCTATTACAATCATTATATACGATCATTATTATTATTATTTGAATATATCTTATAAACTCTATTTATTAAGTATCATTTTAAAGTTAGTTCATTTTTGTTACATTCTTTAAATTTATTTGTTTATTCATTATTTACTATTATTTTAAATTAAGTTCATTATTGTTACATTGTTTAAAGTTATTTACTTTTTTGACCTTTTTTTCTCTTTGTTCTTTTGCGAACAAGTCATTATTTTCAAGATTTATCCCTAATGACCTGATTATTTTTAAGTTTTAAACAATTGTTTAACACAACCTGACTATCGGAAATATTTGGAATCGCAATATAGCTTTTGTCTTTGCTGTTTTGTTATTATAGCTGATTAAACGCGAGGACTCAAGGAAGGAGTGAAGGGGGAGGGGGGTAAGCTTTGATAATAAGTTCAGTTAAACGTGTGGTCTTCACTTCGTCTTGAGAGATTTAGGACCAGTGAACATGGACAAGCTAAGTAGCCTGACGTAGCATTGCTATGTGCTGCCTATTACATTGATGATGACGAGGACGACAATGTTGACGATGATGATGCTGACAATGATGAAGATTGTGATGAGGATGATGAAGATGAAGATGATGACAAAGACTGCAGAGGATGCTAACGATGATGCTGATGACCCTAACAATGACGATGACTCTGACGACGATGATGACCATAGTAATGTTGATGATCACGATGATGATGACATGGCGAATGCTGACGATTATTTTCATGACGTTGACGACGATGCTGATGATGCAGCTAACGACAATAACAATAACAATAACAATAACGGATGCTGACGATTTAGTTGATGACGCTAACGACGTCAATGATGCTGACAATGATGATGATGATGATAATGATGCTTATGTTCTTGTACTTAGATGAAGAAACCCCACAGCTCAGTAAATGGCCATGGCGTCTTCACCTGGTGAGCACCTTCTTCCTTCTTCAATTGCTGACTCGATCTCCAGTCGCCTCTCTTCTCGCTTAGATGCCGTAATAGTCTCACGTGATCATTGTCTGACCAAAAGAGTCAAAAGAGAAGGTTGAGAACGAGTCATCTTCGTAATAGTAAAGGCAAAGGCCTATAACTGAACCTAGAAATATCATTGAAGGCACCTGCCCCTACGATAAAATTAAGGATATTTAACAATTATTCCTCAAGCCCGAATGGGCTCTTAGTCAATAGCCCATGAAGCCGCAGGGCGAATAAGCTATTGACTCAGAGGCCATGAGGGCAAGAAGAATAACTGTTTTAGTAAAATCCAACTAGTTGGACAACAATATCGAGACAAAACAACTTTTGCTGGCAAAACACGATTCAGCCGCCATTGTTCTTGTCTTCAAAGCCGGCGCTTTTCGGCAATGACTAGTGGGCTTTAACTTATAGCCTAATAGTAGCTCAACCAATCAGAACGCAGCATTCATAAAGACTACTAGTTGGATTTTACTAAAACCAAATACACCGCGAAAATACTCTGCAGCTATAGTAAAATAAACCTGAAAAAGTCTTCTTTAAAAATTGAAAAAAGGTGATTCCAAACTGTTTTGTCCCAACAGCACCCATGAGGAAAAGAGTGCAATTTAAGAGTCCATATTTCGTATTGGAGGAAGATTGTGGATGTACTTGTACGACTCTAACACCCTACGTGGAGGAGAAACCAAGCAGAGAAGAACTTTAAACTACGATAGACTGTCTGCGCACCGCTCTCCCTTGCAGTTTCGCCAGCAAACACTGATCGTTGAAGAAAACGGATTCAGCAAATTCTATAAGGTTTAAACTCGACAAATTGTTCTTCTACTAAGCTTTGATCCCATTTATTTTACTTTGTAAACCGGCCAACGGTTCTAAGCAGCAACGAGTTTGAATTTGGGCCTATGTTCTGAGGAAGAAGCAGTAACATCATTCCTGGTCGACGAATCATAACGGTTTAACGGCCCGTTTATACGCACTGAACTCTTCCAAAGCATTTATGAAAATAAAGAAATTGTGTTTGTTACCTCGGAGTTTGTTGAGCAAACCCTATGGTGTCACCATGTAAATAAGACTTTTTCAACACTACTTCCTCGTATTAACAATAACTGTTTAGGATTTTACGAACTAGAAAGCAAGATAGTAAATAGATGTTCATGAATTGGGTTTAGTATTCTTAAAAGTCTGTTAGAGCAAAAGGAATAATAAAAATCCGTAGATTATTTGTACTTAACAGTATTGGTTTCGTGCTAGATGAACATGGGATAATAAAAAAAGGTCAATATGTAACGAATAGTGTGAGAACCATGATGTAAAGGGAGAAAGCTATTTTACAATTGGCAAGATATTTTAGAGAGATGTAGAATTTATCAATTCGGCCACGAACGTAACAGCGTAACTTGGAACTTCTGAGTTCTTCTTAATTAATGTCACTAACTTTGCTGATTCCATAGCTTAACATGTAACATAACCAGCAATAACCTTATAATGCATGAAGATTTTTAAAGGTTCCAAGGAGATGTTTTGGCTGATGTGAATTTGCCCGAACAAAAAATAAAAATAATTAAACATTATAATGGCTATATCTGCTATCCAGCTTTCAAACCTTCACATTGGTTCAATGAACATAATTTAATTCAGTTCTGCAGGCACGAAAACAAATATTCAGGTTAATACCCTCATAAAGCGCTTTGATATCATTGTTTGCGCACTTTGAAACGGCAACAGTAGTGAGATGATTAAGTTGCGCGTGATATTCTCGGGTCAGCCTTGCCGACTCGACAACTCAGCGAGCAAACGGTTTTTTCCTTTCTTTTAGCCTAGCTAAGTTAAGAGGTTATTTCTATTAACTTAAAGTTTAATATTTTCTCGTATTTACACAAGCTAGCAGGCCTTAAAACCCCAAAGGCAGCACCATAGCACTGGTTGGGGGTACACGGTCCCCAGTTTTTCCAAAATTGGTTTTTCGGGGTTTACGTGTCCGGCTGTGGTGTTCTCGTATTTTCATTTTGATTTTTTTTATGATACATGTATTCTTAATGACTTTTCTTACCAATAAAGTGTACTGTCTTAAGCTTCTTTATTTGCGTGTTGATTTCTTTGGTTGTTCATATGAAGGGGATGCAAAATATTTTGTCAACAAGAACATGCTGGCTCTTATCGTAGTGTAACGTGGTTTAATAAACTCTTGTTTCTTTTATATCAAGGCATTTTTACGATAAGAAGGACGCTGAAAATTTTTCGTGACCAAGAGCTCTGCGTGGCGGCGCACTTGTTTGCTGAGGAGGTAAAGATTAGGTTGGAGAAAATTTGGCCACCAAAGGTGACGAACTTTATTTTCAAGATCTGCCCATATATAATAAACTAATATCTCTTCAGCAAAGGTGGGGGAAAATAACCGCCACCCACTAAGACAAGCTAAGAAAGAGTAACAAACTAGGAATTAATTCGCAGTCAGGCGGAAGGGGAGGTGGTGGAAAATGCTGAAAATTGGTTCAAACAAGCGATGTGAACAACGTGATGGTAAGCGATCGAAAGAGGCGAGCGCGTGGAAAAGCGCGCTTAAGAACGATATCGTCCGGTACGCCCTAAATTCTGATTGGCTGGAAATAAGGTAGGCTTGGAATTCGAACCTTCCGCCTTAGCCTGCAAACCATTATCAACTGCCTTGCCATTAAAAACCCCATTATGATGTCGCCATAACGGTGTCTTTTTTGCTTTTCGAAAGGTTGATGTCTTATGTTTCAGCGACGTATCTGCCGCGCAGAATACTGTTAGGTCTCATGAGTGAATGCTGTAACTCAGTTTGTCCTTGATTTATATCTGTTCCCAGTATAAAAATAATTAGCTTTTCTCGTATTATTATTCCAGAAAAACACACAAAATAAGCCGCTCTAATCCCCTCAGGATGAAAAGCTTTTAAATTAAGGAGAAGGAGATTATCTTTTTGCTGGAGCGCGAAAAATTGGCTAAAACAAACTTTCTTATAATTATAAATTCAAGATGATCGTTGGAATCGCATTACTAAATTTGATTAACTTTGACTCTCTCTTTCACGCACAATATAGGCTATTTAGAGAATTAAAGTCTTCAGTCCACAAGCTCATAATCATGTGATCACTTCCTAGCCAGGCTTTGTTAAGAAATGAAGCTTCTAGCGGAACGATCGCGAAGCAGAGCGGAATTTGAGTACAGTCTTCTATTCTCAGATTTTTTACACAGGACAAGGAGGCTATTACGTAACTTCGTTAACTTCTTATTACAAGTTTAGAGTCGATAAGAGTCTGAATGACAGTAAGAACACCCTGATAAACACTTAGGAGCCACTGGGACTTTGCTTTCAAATTGTTTATTTGGCTGTTAAAAAGGGAGCTCTAACTTTCGAGTCTAGGGATAAGTCAGCCTAAACTAAGTGTGGCCATTCAAATGAAAGCCACTTAGCGAACAAATGGCTCATTTATTTAGCTTCAATTAAACTCACTCATTGTTGTTTTTACCACGCAACTGAGCATTTGACCGAATCAAACAAGAGGGTTGTTTTTTTCAGTGAATTGACAACCAGAAACGAAGGTCCTTGGCTTTCAGGAAAATCTAGCAATACCTCTAAGGTGTGCATCCGAGGATGTGGCAAAACGGCTTATGCAGAACTATTGATTAGCAATGAAAAGCTCTTTAAGCACGTTTATGGGCCGAGATACCGCTACGAGGAGCTGAAAAAACCGGAAAGCCTTTCGCGCCACCGAACGCTGACGACTTAACAAACACCTTCTATCCTTAATTCCATGGAAGAGGAAAAATATGGCAACAGGTTAATTCCGTTCCTGGAAAACTCCTTTAAAATGATGACGCGACGTTCAATTCCGAACAAGCCCGACGACTTGCCGAAGACGTTTTGTATCGTAACTTCAAGGCGTGAAACACGAGGCGGAAAAATGCAAAGAGCTTCAGTGAATATGGTAAAAGCCGCGGAGGAGTTGAAAAACTGCGTAAGGGGTCTGGGATGTAACAGATATGTCTATATTTATACTTAGCAAAGGTTGCAAAAACGAAAAAGCGTTGGGGTTCTGTCATTAATTTGTTCGGTGTTTGTTCACTCGAATTCTAAAATGACTTTGGTAGCGGAGTATATTTTGCGAGTTTTACCTGAGCCGTATTCAATGTTGATTGCATTGATTTTGTCTGTGGCAGTTGCATGTTCTTCACTAACTTAGTAATAGGCTGTTTTGAACAACGGCGTTGTGCTGTAAAATCAATTGCTAACGATAAACGTTAAATGTTGTTCTAGATTAAAAAAAAATCTTTCTGGACTATAGCTAAGAAACGTTCTTTTTTCAGAGTCCCAGAATTGGATTTTTCCGACAGGGTTAACCCATGATTTTGGTCAAAACATTCAGTTTTTCCTTTAAAACATTTTTCGTGAAAAGAAGCCAGAAATAATGTAAAATGATGGGGTGGATAAAAACCAGCCTTTTTTAGACTAGAACAAATGTCCATTTTTGAAAGAATCAAAAATCGTTCTTTTTTTAAAGGGGTTAAGCCAGTTTTCTTTGCGACGTTTAGGTGCATGACATTATTGCTTTTAACCACAAAAATTTGCTTTTTGTAAAATATCTCATGCCAGGTCATAACACTTGAGCCTTCCTAATGTATGATATCCTTGTTCACCTGGGTCATTCAGGTCTGACAGTCTTATCTGTGACACAGGTAATGCAGACTTGTCCGTTAGTAGACCGCTGTCCTCTCTCCAGCCGCTGCCACCGTTATAACAATTGCATTTTTTTCCACTTGAGCAAGAGTTTGTTACCCCGCATGCGCACATATTAGATGACCCACCAGCTCCTCCCCAGTAGTTCATTTTCATCCCATCACGTGACGTCCACCAGGCAACCGACTCCGGTACAAATCCTACACCATTATTACACTCAAACTTGATGAATTGTTCACAGTTCTGCGAAATGCGAATGAGTGCTGCTAGCTGAGCGGTGCTGACTCCACTGTAAGTTACATCTTTACTGTAACATCCTGGTTTATCAACCTCACACCCAGGAATGTTAGCAACGTATGTTCTCCTCTCGCTGTCGTGACTTATGACTGTCACGCCAACTCCTCCCTTGTCACTCATATCACAATACACACTGAACGAAGCCAGGCCTCCTTTTCCATCAGGGTCAATAATAAAATTACCTGAAGAGCTTCCACTGTGGCCTGATTTTATACTGCTACAGGACATGGGTTTGAGCACTTCTACAACACATGATGCCTCAATTGTTTTTTGATAGTTTCTTGCAACACATGTGTAAGATCCGTCATCATTTGCAGTCACCTGTTTGAGAAACAAACTTCCGTTTGAAATAAAAACGTGGTTTTGAGGAAGATTTTTGTTTGTCCTCTTCCAAGTCATTTCTAGGGCTCCCTGGGCTTTGCAATTTAGCGTCAGGTTGTTGAACACAGATGCGGCAATCTTTAAAGGAGGTGTCACGGTAAATTTGAGCCTGTCAATCACTGTTATCACGGCCAAAGCGAAGTCTTCTCCAAGGAGATTCTTTACTGAGCATACGTAAGTCCCAGTATCCTTTTTAGTTACACTAATTAAAGTCATATTCCCATCGATCACTGCAGTTCTTCCTCTTGGCAAATAACCTAATGGTTTTTGCCATGTGATCGTTGGTATCGGCAGACCAGAAGCTTTGCACACAAGGGTTACGTTTTCTCCTTCTTCAAGGATAACAGACGAAGGCTTTTTTGTGAACAAGCTAAGGCAGCAACTGATTAACAGAAAAAAAAACTGCACGTCAATTAACTTAAAAGCATCCTAGGGAATTTCCTTTAAGTTAACCTGACACTTAGCCGATCACTTTGAAGTTCATGAACGACTTTTTCCGTCCCATTTAATGCACCAGCGTAAAATATGACAGATTCGAGGTTGGGGTTGTACGTAAAAGCTCCCGTGTGATGATTTAGTAGAGAGAGCGCTATAATTCGCTTGCAACTCCGTCGATCACGAGCCCGTAATTCGACGGAGTCATGATAGCCGAGGGGAGTAGGAAGAAAATGGAAACATTTTGATTCTTGCGATTGCGATTCAGTTAAGCCTATAACGACCCTTAGGGCTCTTAACACCTCCACTACGACTCTGACTGTAAGGTTTATCGGTTTAACTGCAAATCCAACACTGCAGCCAATATCTTAAGACAAGGTAGTCAAAGAAAATGCTTAAGAGACAGATATCTTAATTGCAAAAGCTAAGGAATGATGTCGACTACGGATTTATCGTGCTGAGTGTAAGCCATAAGTTTTATTTGCATTGGTCCCATGATTCAATTTTCCCGTGTGATAATCCTAATCTTTTTTTGACAACATCAGGGATGTTATGGGGTATGGGGGACAAGACCTTTGTTCATGTAAACAGGCTCAAGCGTACATCATGCCAGAGATTCTTCGTTCTTAAGAATCTTAAGTTAATATATACTTTTTCTAGAAAAGTAACAGTATTCATATTGTTTAGATGTGGGAACAGGATACTCAATTGTAACTTATTAGAACATACCGAACACAGGCCAAATACAATGTGCAGAAACTTCATAGACTTTCCATACGTGTAAGATAGTTTGGGCTTGATGTCGAAACTCTCTGCTACGAGAAATTGTTCAAGTAGACAGTAGAATTATCTGTAGTTTGAATATGAATCGCTAAGCTTTGTTATCTCAAAGCTACTGTAGATTTTTTCACCTGTACACTGGGACATTAATATTAATTTTAATATTAAAAGTAATTACCTTGAACAGTCAATGTGGCCGATGAAGTCACCACTCCAAGAATATTTCTTGCCCGACATGTGTACACTCCTTCATCTTGTGACGTCACATTTCTTATCACAAGGTCGCCACGTGATTGCATGATTCGTTTATCGGAGGGAAGACTGGAATTTTCCTTCAGCCACGTGACCTGGGGCACTGGATTTCCTTTGACCCCGCACTGCAGTGACGCTATACCAGTTTTGTTTACGACGATGGACGTCGGAGGTGACACAATCGAAGGAGCTGAGATGGATTCACCAGGATCACCCTTGGGTCCTGGAGGCCCCTGATCGCCTTTAGGTCCAGGAGGCCCCTGATCTCCTTGAGTTCCTCTTGGTCCTTGTGGTCCCTGAGGCCCAGCTGGCCCGTGTTTACCTGGGGGACCAGGCCTGCCTCGTCTTCCCCTGACTCCCTTCGGGCAATGCGCCATGCAGGCCAGGTTACTTATCGCTAGCCGAACTTCTCTTTTGATATACTCACGACCTGACGATTTCACTGACGTTTGATTTCTTGTTTACATTTTTGGCGTTGCGTTTTTGACGAACGTTATTTTCTGCAACTAAGCGAGAATTCAGCACGTTATTTTCATGATCGTTCCGTGAAACTACCTCCTCTGTCCTACTTTTTTAAATTATTTTTTCAGTACTGACTGTACTGAGCTATTAAACCTGCGGCTCATGTTTAAACATTTACGCAGATTATTTCTCAACCCTTTGATACCACAACAGCTGAAACCGATGCGACCGAATGCTTTTTCTAATAAGATACAATTAGGAAACTGACCTTTTTAGTTCCTTTTAGAGTCAATAAATAACGGCTTAGTTTCTTAATGTAACGAAATAGGACATTGTTACGAAATAAAGGTTCCTTGCAAAAGGAACAATTCTAATTTTGCCGAAAATCTGGGAACAATTAAAAAAAGCACTGACCTTTGCCATTGTCATTACGCAGCGCAGAAGCAATCAATTCATCGTTCACAGTGCGTCGTGAATGGATACTTTCTTCTCTCTGTAGAGTCAGGACTTCAAGCATGTTTCGATGAGCGTGAAGCTCTATCTCGACATGGATCAATGTCACGAAACAGAAAGCAATAGAGAAGACAACTACCGAACACGCTAGAGTGTTGCTGATCGGACGCTTCTTCGCCTCCACTTTAACCGACCAAGTTTGTAAAATGTAGTGCTCAGAGGGGTAAAGTCAGTAAAAATAGACTTGCAACAAAACAGTTGAAACAACTTCAAGTACGCAGTTGCGGTTGTCGTAGTTAAAAGGGAAGTTTAGGTCGAATTACTGTGTGGCTTTCCATCTGACCCTGGGGCAGCAGGGGTAGGGGGGTACTCCCCAGAGTAGCCTATATGGAGAGGCTCCGCTCAAAAGGGGTACCTTTATTAGGCCTTTGTTATATGCCATGAAAGGGATGTCTTTAGTTGAGGGATGTGAAACGGTAGGGAGATCTTTCATTTCGGTCTGTAAAAGATACCAAAATGGGCTTCCACGCTCATTTTAAGGGATATGAAAGAGACCAGAAAATTTCTGGTTTAGTGTGATGAGTAAAAGAGATGCATTGTTCTAAACTAGGTATAAGAAATAGGTGCCATTTGTTAGTAGGTGTCATTTTAAGGTATAAAAAAGGGGTACCTTTTCTGTCTAAAATGGTATATAAAAGGGTAAGGGGTAGGACCTCCTTGTATAAAGCTTTGGTGACTGACGCATACCTTGCCTGGTATGCTGGCAACTACACCTTAAAAGTTGTTCTTGTAAAAAAGGCTTTTCTTAAATATGAAGGAGTAAGGCCGCGGGAGACACCTTCATGAATAAATATAATATATAGATTTAGCCAGGGCTAAAAGCGAAGCTCCCGTTAATAAATTCATAATTTAAATCAAACGATAAACTTGTAATCCACAGATCAGGGCACATTCCTGTGACTTTTGAGGCAAAGGCCAAGTGATTTTAGAGAAAAATAATTTGACAGTCCAAGAGTGAAACAAATTTAATTTTACATCGAGTTAATAGTCTTATTTGTACATCCAAAAAAAGCAATCATGTTCGATCACAGTAGATTAGGCCTGGAAAACAAATAGACCTATTCGTGTATTATATTTGCATTAGCTGTTGCATCATAATGTGGCATTTACTGCTCTCCCACATTGCTCCGTTAGAGAGACTATGCAGTAACTATGGATAATTGGACAACCCCGAAATATAATTTTAAGAAACACACGCGCAACGATAGTCCTTGGTGGCAGTCAATTTATACGTTGCATTCCTCTGTGTAAAAGAGAGGCCAAAATAAAAAATCAGGCCGGATTTTTTGTGTTGGACAAGTTTAGTTTACTTGTAAATCTTGGCGACGAATCTGGTGGCGTGTAAACCAGCCTTTTAAACATACTTTTACTCATCAAGTCTCATGTAAACAGTACTATGAGGCCTTTTTTTTATCATACAGACCTCGGACAGAATTTGTTCTTTTTTGCCCTATGAAACCTATAATTCTGCAGTTTTTCACAATTTTGCAAGAGAATTTGCACTCATTCAATATCCACGACGATAAAAGCACGCGCTTCCTTTGCACAACAAATTATATAGCATTGAATTATAAAACATTTTCATGAAGAGAATTCTATAATGCCGGGACTTTTCAGTTAGAAAAATCTGGTCCTATGTGATATGCAGGGTAATAATTATCGGCTTTTAATGAAAACGATAAAAAAAATTGCCAAAATCACTTTTCGGCCAGCCGGACGGGTTCTCACTTTTGACAGGCACCAAATTTGCAGTGCGATTAATAGAGTTACCATTTACGCTTCAACATGATA